ATGCTACTTGTACGCAAGAAGGATGGAACATGGCGAATATGCGTTGATTACCGAGCTCTCAATGGCATAACCATCAAGGACAAATACCTTATTCCAATAGCAGATGAATTGCTAGATGAAAGGGAGCACAAATCTTCACAAAGTTGGACCTTTGATCCGGGTATCATCAAATATGAGTGTGCGAAGAAGACATACCGAAAACCACCTTTTGAACACACAACAACCACTATGAATTTTTGCTTTCTTCAACAAAAGATAGAATATCTTGGGCATATCATATCAGAGGAAGGTGTGACGGTGGACCCCTTCAAAATTGAAGCAATACAAAACTGGCCTACCCCAAGGAACATAAAATTGCTACATGGCTTTCTGGGTTTAACAGGCTACTACCGTAAGTTCATGAAAAACTATGGAAAGATTAATACACCACTTACTTTCTTACTAGAAAAAGATGTCTTCCAATGGTTGGACAGAGCCTCCACTGCCTTCGACAAACTTAAGGCAACCATGACGACGACACCGGTGCTAACACTACCAGATTTCAACCGACCCTTCATTATTGAGGTCGATGCATCTGGAGTCGGAATTGGAGCCATTCTTATACAAGATGGTCGACCACTCGCATACACTAGCAAGACATTATCTCCCTCCCATCAAAATAAGTCAACATATGATAAGAAGATGCTCGCCATTGTGCGCGCAGCAACGAGGTGGAGACCCTACTTGATTGGTCAACGATTTCAAATTAAAACCGACCATAAAAGCTTCAATTACTTTTTGGAGCGAAAGATATCATCCCCTGATCAGCAAAAATGGGTAACAAAACTTCTTGGATTTGATTATGAAATAACTTACAAAAAGGGGAAAGAGAATGTTCTTGCATATGCGCTTTCGCAGCTACCCGAGCAAGCTAAAGTTTCGGTCGTTTCACTTCCGACCAGCGACTTCCTTGAGGATATTAAGATGGAATGGTAGGAAGATTCAGAGACTAGTAAGATTATAAAAAAAATTTGGAGGAAGCACCAAGCTCCGTGGCTCATTACAATTGGGATTCAAAAAAATTACACTATAAGGGATGCATTGTGCTTATGATAAATTCTATTTGCATCTTCACGAGCAGATTTTGGACAAAGTTATTCTATATACAGGGTACTAAATTGAAAAGGAGTATGGCATATCACCCACAAATCGACGGCGAGACAAAAGTTGTAAATAGGTGCTTGGAGACAACCCAAAGCCACCCGCCAAATATGACTATCCAAGGAGAACTCCAGACCTAGCCAAGTACCATTATTGATCGACGGATCATGACTCGACGACAATGACCCACTACTAAAATGCTAATACAGTGGGTGAACCTACCAACAGAAGATGCCACTTGGGAGAACTATGACGACTTGAAGATCAAATTCTCAAAATTCATGAATCGTCAGCCTCGAGGACAAGGCTGATTTGAAGAGGGCAGGTCCGTTAGGACTCTAGCTAGGAGAGTCCTAATTGAGAGGGACATTCATGTAAAACCTACCTAAGCCGACCCCTATTAAAGAGGTGAAGAGACCGGCTAGGGTTAGGAGGTTGTTTCTTAGAGAATAATAAGGAGTTGTAAAGGATAGGAGTCTTGAGTAGGAGTCCTATTAGGAGTTGGTTAGAAGTAGGAGTTTTGAGTAGGAGTCCTATTAGGAGTTAGGGTTTAGAAGCCCTATAAATAGTCATGTATTCCTCCTCTTTTCATAAGCAATAGATGAATCTTTTCTGCAGCCTTTGAGCAGCAACTTGGAGGGAGGAACCCCTATAGAGTTCCAAGGAGGTCGATCCCCTAAAGAGATCAACCCCAAGTTTAGAATCTGCAAGGGTTCTAACAGAGCACTCGACCTCTCCTGCCCCAAAGGTAATTTTAGGCTCATGCTTAGGCCGGGGACGCTTCTCTACCGCACTACGCACATAAGCCTTTCTTGCTGTCGTGCTACTGCCGCCGGCTGTTAGCCCACTAGCGATGACATCGATCTGTCTCTCGGGGGGTCCTCTGGGGCGTGGAGTCACCTCCCGAGATTTGAGGTAGCATCGAGGTGGCCTCTCTGGATCAGTGCCTCTATTTGATTCCGGAGGTCATGGCAGTCCTCCGTGTCATGACCATAGTCCTGGTGGAACCTACAATATTTAGATTGATCTCTGCGGGTGGCCTTCATGGGGCGAGGTTGCTGCAAGAGACCCGTCTCCTTGATCTGGAGGAAGATCTCGGTGCGGGATGCATTTAGGGGAAGAGGTGGGGGCCTTGGGAGCAGTAGCTCTTGTCGGTTGAGCCCACGGTGGGGAGGTGTCGGGGCCACCAAGGTCGTTCCTTGAGACAACTCCATCCTTGGCTTCTTGCCCTCCATGCGCCTCCCCGCCACTAAAGCCTCGGTGGTTACATACTGGTTGGCGCGTTGGAGCATTTCAGAGATGGTCATCGACGGCTTCTCGATCAGTGATCAAAAGAACCTCTAAGGCTTCAAACCCATCAGAAAGGCCTGCAAGATTAGAGAAGGGTGAGCATCCAGAAAACCTTGGACCTTAGTGGTGAATTGTGCCATGAACTGAGAGAGCGACTCATCCTCGTGCTGAGATAGTGCGAGCAAGGCGGCCATGGAAGGCCTAGGCCGTGTGCTGGCGAGGAAGTTTTGCTCAAATTCCTCGGCAAGCTGGTTAAAGGACGAAACTAAAGCTTGGCGTAGTCAGCCCCCGCAGAGTGGTCGGAAATGCTCAGCACATCAGCGCATCGGGGGCGCCATAGAGAGCCATCTGGGCCCAGAACACAGAGATGTGCTCCATGGGATCGGAGCCTCTGTCATATGTTTCCAATGTCGGGAGCCTAAAGTTGACGGGCACCGGTTTGTCCTATACTTCCGGGGTGAAGGGGGACCCGCCCGCGGCGCCCTTGCTGGACTCACTCTGCGACCTTCGAAGCTCGCGCTGGAATGCATCCAGCCACTGATTTACTCGAGACAACTGGGCTCTAAGCGAGTCGTCTGCCGAGTCAGACGATATGGTGTCAGGCTCCAGATGAGATAGCATGGCTAGGCCGGATGCGGGTGCGTTTTGCTCGGGAGGACCCCTTGGGTCCGTCGCTCGCCCTGAGGCCTCTCTGATCCCGAGCTGCTCCCCATTCGGGGGTTGCCGAGCTGGATCGGTCGGGGGCATCACCAGTTGCACGATTTGAGGAATAATTAGGGCGAGCATTTGCATCATGCCTGCCATAGTCTGCACTTGCTTGGTTAGGCTGAGGAATGCCTCGGGTGTCACGGTCGAGGGCTCCGGGGCGAGCCCCGGGGGCGATAGTCCTGGATTATTAAACAAACGCTAGTAGTGATCAAGTGTCGAAGCTGGTATCCTTCCGTCTGTAGGGGCGGGGAGGGCTTGACTTTTTGGCCTGACGAAAGGGAGGTCAGTCAGGGGTTCCCTCTCGTGGCGAGTTCCTGCCAGCTGTTCCTACGACATGGGCCCTCCTTCTAGCGCCAATATATTAGTGAACAAAAATATCATAGCTGATGAGTCAGCACGGTTTGGTCCACAGGCCGACGTCGGGAACTTATGGTGGAATGAGTAGGATGATGAGGTGGCTACGCTTCTCGAGCACTTCGGGCGAGGGTTGATCCGGAAGGGTCGGCTGAGTCCTCGCAAGCGGCTGGGGGTTAGCACTCCAAGGCCAACCAACTTGAGTATCGTTTGTGACGAGGTGTGTCCTTTTATCCCCAGGATAGTTGGCAATCTTTCTTCATGGGCACGCCCTTGAGATGGGAGGTGCAGGTTGGCATTGCTTGGGACCCGATCCGCTGGTCCACCCTCCTCTACGCACTGGATGACGACTTCAGGGTGAAGACGCTCGTTGCTCAGTGGTGATCACCTTCCTGCAAAACGACCTTCATCGGGTATCTCCCGACTTTGGCCCCTCCGACTAACAAGTCAGTGTAGATCGGGTTCCCTTGTTTCTTTCCTTTTTTCTCCCCCCTTCCTTGGGATCGGATGGGGGTATTTATACCTACGTGCGAGAGTTGGTTGTCCCTCGATTCAGCATGGCCGCTGACTTTGTGGGGGCGGGACAACTTCTGACGAGGTGGTATCCTCGGGGGTGCTTGAGCGGTGTTAGACGACACTGTCCCAAAAGCAGACGGCACCAGCCCGAGATCTTGGGTTGGTCAAGTCGCACAGTGTATCAGTACCGAACTTGACATGGCATGCACCCCGTGGTTCCGACGGCGTATGGCGTTGCATTCGTGGCTGTCGGTTGGTGATGTTTGCTGGTAATTCATCTAGGGTCAAAATATACCATATCAACAGGTGATACTGATTCCAGGAAGTCCATTTCGGGATCCTTGATGACATTTAAAGGGGGAGCAGTCACTTGGCAGTCTAAGTTATAGAATTGTGTTGCTTTATTAATTACAAAAGTATAATATATAGCAATTACTGAAGCCTGCAAGGAAACTTTATGGATGAAAAAGTTTCTACAGGAATTGAGTTTGAAATAGAAAGGATATACTGTTTACTGTGATACTCAGAGTATCATTTATCTCTCCAAGAATTCAACATACGATCCAAGCATATTGATGTGAGATATCACTAGATTTATGATGTGCTTGAGATAAAAGAATTACAGTTGGAAAATGTGTATACGAATAAGAATGGATCAGATATGTTGCCAAAATCTTTACCTAAGAAAAAGCTTGAAGCATGTAGGCAAAGAGTGGGCTTAGTATAATCCACCATATAAACTCGAGGGGGAGAATTATTGGGTCCAACCCATATGTGGGCTTGGACTAGACAATTGAGTCTTTCAGCCTAAATCAACAATCAACAATTAAAAAGAAAAAAAAGAAAAATAGTGACGTGTGCAGTTGAGGGTAGCGAAGTGTTTTGGTGTGCAGTGAATGGTAGTAGCACACAGTGAGAGAAAAGAAGAGAGAGAGAGAGATATGAGAAAGAAAAATAAGATTTTGAGTTTTTCTGCTTGATGATCAGTAGCCAAACTTTATCAGTTTTGACCCAAATTATATATGAAGAATTCTTGTAGCAAGCTCTACAATTCTGACGGTGCTGATCTGTAGTTTATTCTCTCTAAGGTTCTTTTCTGTTATACCTATTTGGTGAGACCTAAACTTTTCTTTTGATGAGATCTATCCAAGTGATGATGATATGCTATTCTTGAGCCAAGATATGTGGTCTTGATGTTATTATGATCCTCTTGTTATTTTAGAGAAGACTTATTGTAAACCCGTTATCATTACTAGTGATAGTGGAAATTTGAAATAGACTATAGTCCCGTGATTTTTTCCGTATTGGATTTTTAACGTTAAAATTTGGTCTCACTTTGTGATTGATTTATTGTTCTATTATTTATGTTGTTATGGTTAATACGTGCTATTGATATTAAGTTGATATTTTGATGAGAAACCCATTTTGATAAAAAAAGAAAAAAATATATTCCACTATAACAAATTTTTCCCCACATAACAACACATAAGCAATGCCATTTGAAACCATATCAAAGAAGCTAGATGGTGTAGTGAGAAAATAACATAACATGAATATATCTATTTTTGGATAATCAAAATATAAAGAATCAAAATATGATGTTTGAGTTCAAGAGTCATATTTATCATTTGATCTTATTCATATATATCAAAAGAGCAAATAACAATGTATAAACAAGTCCCTTTGATCATATTTAAAATAAATAAATGGTATAGTGGAATCATAAACTACTATAAATTCACCTATTTTGGAAGGTCATAACATAAGCTCCTTCCCATCTACATTAAGATAATAAGCCAATATGAGCTTGTTTTGGCTCCATAAACATAATATATATATTTTTTATTTCTAACAAAGAAACTAAATTATCTTATTACTGTTGAATATCGGATTTTGATGATGAAATCAATTGTCATGTGGTTATCTAATCCGTATGTTGAGATAAGTGTGTAGGATTAACTACGATGGCAGTAAGACATGCAGCAGGTGTTAAGCCGAACTCAAGACCAAGATCACGTTGGAGGTTTGAGAGTTCGTCGGAAGTCCGGACGGTCGTCGGAGGTTCTGTAGGTACAATCCGAGAAGTCCAGGAGCTTGCCAAAGAAGCTCGTCGGAACTCGCCAAGAGGATCGTCGTAAGTCCAGGAGTTTGCCAAAGTCTGCCGGAGCATCGCCGAGGGTTCGTCGGATGTTCACCGGAAGCTTGCCGGAAGAAGCGATTGACGCATCGGAACATGATTTACAGAATTAATGTCTTAAGTGTCATGGTTAGCAGGTGGATTAAGTTAGAATTGGGAGGTGATCCCATTAACTTAATTTGGGGCTAATTGGGCCCTGAACAGACCCAAATTGGGCCAAATGGATCAGCCCATTCGGACCCAGAATTTCTTGCCGGTGGTGGCA